GAAAAGCCTTCTAGGCGTGATTTATAAAATGGATTCGTAGAGGAAAAACATTATGATCCCTCAAATTTCTCGAGCTCCAGGAGTTATAACTTGTGTAAGACAAACCGGAGCCAGCTGAAGTATGGAACCACATATGAAGCGAAAGCAGCCTGACATCAGAATGTGTGAGCGGAAAATAGAAACTTAAAAAGTTCAAGGCATTTGTTCTGGGAGGGTCCCCTGTGTTACTTCCACCCTCCTTATAGAGCTATCAAATTAATTTACCTCACGGACGTCGTAAGTGAATTGTCTCAGAAGGACGATGACGCTTGAGCTAAGCATATAGGAGTCTGGGACAATCCGTCGGGTCCTACACCCGCAGATTTCCAGCCCGTATGTGAGTATAGGTTTTTGCTCTGACTCTTTTTTTTTTCTCTTTGCAGCCTAGAAAATGGAAACCAAAGCATGACACGTTAAAATGTGAAGGCTTATGATCGTAAGGCTGCTCATTTCGCTCCGTGACCTCATCCCTGGATGTAATGTGTTGCCGCGATCAAGAGACACACTTTGTCAGGAAAAGCCGAGGCAAAGCTGGAGAATCCACTTTGTTGCCCATTCAGCATATGGGGACCGCCTTGCTTAGAGGGGTTTTTTGCTTGTCAGACGGACTTTCGAAGTATGTGGACCTGCATACCATGTCGAGGGTCAAGTTGATCGTGGGCTTCTATATTGCGGAAAAGTGGTCTGCCCGGTCACAAATGCAATTAATCTGTGAGGATGGTCCTGTTTTTCTGCAGTTGGGCTGCCCCATGATCCAACGCTACCATTTTTAATGGGGAAGTCGCCATCCTGGACCCAAGTTAGACACAGGGTGGGGAGCTGGGTGGGAGAAGGGCGATCAGAGCTGAGTTAACTGGATCAACATTACATTCCCCGCCATATACCGGCCCATCATCCTGGGAATGTGGACGTGGGCTCTGACTGGCTCTGACAAGGTGGTTAGCTACCTGACAGGATGTTAAGAAGAGCCATAGATTATTGTTTCCCCCTTTCCACGGGGTGGGTAACACCACAAACTTTTTTCCCCGGGGGAAATACCCCAGAATTGGCTATAATTTCAATCTGTTTTTTACTGGACAGGGGATTTCCCCGGGAGCAATAGATTAAGGGAAACCGGGGGGCAAAGGGGAAGGGGGGAAACCCCAGCGGGATTAGTCTTTCACCACTGTTTTGAAAGCCCCCTTTGTAGATTTAAGGGAAACTTTTAAGTTGTTACACCGGCGGTGGCTGGGGGACCCCCGAGAAGCCTTACTAGGGGGCCCTGGACTTTAAAAGAGGGACATGGGCCAGGAATTAGACATGTTCGTTTCTTCCTAATTTGGGCGCAGATCGGGGAAGAGGTCCGGGAGGTGGCATCACATTCGTAAGTGGCCCCCGGGAGGGCATACCTTCGGCCACTAAATTTGTGCGAGGCGTTTGGCCCCGAAAACCGGTTTACTAAGGAGCCGGGTCTCCGGGGAGGAGGGTTTGATTTTTTTGGGACTTTCGTTTTCCCGCGAAGGCGGCGGGGAGATCACGGAGGTTTAAGAAGGGGAGAGGAAAATCCCGGGGCGGGTGGTTTTCCCATGAATTGTACTTTAGGTGTCGCCCTCGCCGAAAGAGGTTCAAAACCGGGTTTCCTCCATCCCAATCGATCAAGGGGTGGGTCATTTTTTGAAAAAAGGGCAAAATGGTGGGGGTAGATGATTTTCCCATAACCTTTTAAACAAGAGAAAAATTAGGAAGATCCTGCAGGAGCGGCAGTCAGTTGCCAGTTCTGTTACCGAGCAGACTTGTTCTGTGAGGGGCCAAAACAGAGAACCCATCTGATCCGAGGGGACCCGGGGGCCAAAAGCCGGGCCCCTGATAAAATCACCAAGGCATTTAAGGGGGTGACCATCCCCTTTACGCCCCGGCTGGTTTTTCGACCCAACTTCTGCCGGGATTACCCCCCTGTATCGCCCCCAGTGCTGTGGCGGGGGAAGGGAAGGGGCAGGGTTGTGTGTCAGGTGTTTCAGGTTGTCCGCCCCCCTTTTTAGCTGGTTGGAGCCTCTTCCCCGGGAAGGAAGCCCGGGCCCGGGCCCAGGGAATCCCCCTCCCTGGAGGGTCTCGGAGGGTTTCGCACGCCGATGACGATCGGGGTCCCCGAGCGCATTGAGGCGGCAGAAGGCGCTGACAAGAAGGTGAAGGGGAAGTAAAGGAAGTCGTCTGCGGTTAGTGCCGGGAAGGGGGTATTTTCCGGGGCCCCGGTTGGGACGGCCCTGTCCGATTCGGGAGGGGGTTTTGGGGGCCCACCTCCAGCTGAGGAAGGCTAAAAAGGGGTCATTTTCCCGGAAATTTTGGGGAATCACGGAGGTTGTCCTGAAGGGGAGGGGGGGGGCTCTTTTCCCATTTTTTATCATTGTCCGATTTCCCCCTGTAAAACCCCAGGAAGGTTCGAATCGCATCTCCAAGGGGGGCGGGGAAAGGGCCAAGATTGCACCCCATATGGGGGTGGGTGTTTACCTGTTGAGTCCCAAACCGGCCCCAGGTTGGTTTTTCCCCCCGCAACGGGAATCCACGAGGGGGTTTTTAGAGCCTTCCCCGTTACCATCAGTCCCCCCCCCGGTTGAGCGCCGTAAACCCCGGTGAGTGGGTTTCTCCGGAGTGTCGGTTCCTAAAGGCCTTTCCCCCGTCCAGTGACCTTTCGGTAAAGGGTTTTTACTGGTTTATGGAGGGTCAGGAAGGGATGTGTATATACCGGAGGGGAGTTTTTTTTCCCGGGACGGGGGATTCCCAAACCCTGAGCCTTACCTGGCGAGGGGGAAGGGGCCCCTTCGGGCAGGGTTTGGGTTTGCGGAGCCAACGTGAAGGGTGGTCTTGGCAGAAGAAACGGGCCGAGCCTTTTCTCCCACCCCCTGGTCCGCCCTTATGGGACCAGTCGGCGAGTGACGGTTTGCTCCCCAACAGGCGGTCCATTGATCCAACCGGGAACCGGCCCCGATTCCGGGAGAACAGGTGTTTTGATGCTGATTCGCTCAATGGTGAGGACGCCCCAATGGAGGAATTTTTGGGAAACCGTTTTTCTTATCAATCAACCCAACCTTGAGCATCAGTCAAGATGAAGAAGATCTGAAAAAAACGATTGTTCGGAAGTCTTCACAAAGGGGGAAAAAAGAGAAGTGGGTTTGTGACCCGGGCCTTTTATTTTTTTCTAGGTAATTTTTGCACATCGGGTGGGTTTCCTGTGGAACCATCCCTTGGTTAGGGTTAGATGTTTGTGTGTACCTAGTTAATGTGGAGTAAATGTTGTTCCTGGCCTGTATCCCGCTGCTCTTTTGGTTATGGTCCAAGCTTCTAGATTCCCAACCTCCCCAGTTTGTTTTGCCCCTTTTTATCTCGATCAATAGCTTTTACATTTTCCCACCTGCAATATTTTCTCCGCTCTCACTCCTTAGCGAGAGCTGCCTCTTTGATTCTGTCCCCTGGGCAGAATACAGCGGTCTCTGTTTTTGAGGTTAGACGGTGTCCCTACAACATGTGTTATGTTTCATTTGTATTTTGTGTTTATTTTAACATATTTATTGGGTTCATTTCCTACCCTTGCATTTATCAGCTGGCGAATTTTATATATTTATGTATCATAAAATTTTTATGTGGATGGGGCGCGATTTGGTAGGTCTCCTTGAGCACGTGGTATGTAATTGGTTGAAGGATTGTTTGTGATGGATGAGTTCTTTTGGTGAATGGGTAAAATGTAATGTATGAATGGGTCCGTGAATCTGATTAGCTGTTGTAAGATCGTTAGTGTTGACCAGCATCTCCTTTTTGGCCTTGTGCCACAATTGTAAATTTTTGTTGTTTTAAAATCATGCTTTGTATTGTCTCATACACCCAGTGGTTTTATTATTCCGTGAAACAACATTTTATACAAACGGTCAGCTTTTTCTTATTTTGTGTTGGAATCTTTTATTTGCTTTGTAAAACGCTAATTTTTTTTGTTTTTAGGGGTAAGTTTTCTTTTTGTGTACGTTAAGATTTTGATTTGGAACATGACAGGTCTTTGTGCAAACAAACCAAACCCCAACAGAACGTTAAAGTTTTTTATCCCTAATTTGTTATTTTAAATTTATTTTTGTTTGACTTTTATTTTGTTTAACGATAAAAGTAAAATGTGTTCGATAATGCCGGTAGTAAACCCCATTGCGGGAAAACATAATACTGTCACCGCGTATGTGCAAACGGTGCAAACGCCAGTGTACTGAAAATGCCATGCGGAAAAATACCACCGGCAAAATCTGGTCTGGTGTTTTCTGCTATGTATTTAGCTTACTACAGCCTTTAAAAGAAAAAAATATTTGCGGCACGTTGTGGACTGAGTTTCAACCATCCCGGAGGCCGTAACGCGGTTTTTCTAAGAATAGTTTCATGGTAATTGTTTTTGATGAAGTTGAACTATATGGAGCCAGCATTTATGAATTTAAACTGAAATATAAGTTTGCCTCCAACGACTCATCATTTATAGTTCAAATGGGGATATCCTTCAACTCTAAAGGAGATGTTAAAGCAGTTTTCTTTCAGTACAATGGCTTGTCCAACGTCAGACTGCAGACCAGCCAGGTTAGACGTACCAAAAATTTAAATGCAGGGGGTGCTTCTGATAATTTCAGCAGATTATTGTCCTCTCTCCTAATAGCGGGACTTTTCCAGGATTTTCCTCAGACTCTAGTAAGGCTTCATTTGGGCGAAGAATTGACTTTAACTTAGGATGGATTCAAAGATATATCTGATACTCTTTTTGTGTCGGATAAAAAAAATTTTTATTTGGGGGAAAAAAGGGCCACCGTTGAACTGGTGTAATTTGGGGGGGCCCCAAAAAGACTGCCCTAAGGTTCCGAAACCCTCCACCCAGCCAATTAAAAAAAGGGGCAGGGAAAAATTACAGAAACAAAAAAAACAACAAAAGTAATGGGGTTCAACAAAAAACAAAACCAGCAGCAACATCAAAAGAAACCGGAGAAAGTTTCAGAAGGAGGAAACGGGGGAAGGGGAAGAAAGAATAGCCCTCCCCCTTAAAACAAATGGCTAGAAAACACCTTTCCCCAAGGAGCCAAAACAAACCCCCCAGAATTTGGAAAACGGGCCTTTAAAAAAGGAAAACCAAAGAGGGAGAAACCCGGAGAAACAGGCAAAGGGAAGTTAAGGAAAGAGGGGGTCTCGAAAGAGAAACAAAACCCCCAAAAAGAACAAAAGGGAAACAGCAAAGAACAATCACCAGGGGGAGAAGATGGAGGGGGTAATCCCTCCACCCCAAAATCAACCTTGAAAGAGGCAGAAGAAGAGGGGGAAGAGGGGGGGGAAAAAAACCAGAAAAAACCGGGGAAGGAGGGACCCAGCTTTTTTGACGGCTTTCTGTACCCCCCCCAGGAAAAATTTAAAAAACCCCCAAAAAACCGGGACATCCCCCTTTCCCCCCTTTCCCATTGACGTTTCCCCCTCCCTCCACACCCCCCTGTGTAAAACCCACCCCTCAGGCCCCGAGGCCTCCCCCCCAAAACCCGGAAAGGGAAAAAAGAAGGAAGAAAAAATTTTTTGGGGAACCCCCAAGAAATTTAGGGTAAATGAAAAAATTTAAAAAGTTTTCCCCACCAAAAGGTCTTATTTGGCATTTTTTCAAAAAAAAATAGGGTTGATGGAAAGAAGTAGAAGACCCTCAGAATCCCCGGGCCCCGGAGTTACTTAAAAGGAAACGGGAGCATGGGGGGCCAGGGGTATGAAAAGAGGCCTTTCCAAAAATTAAATGCGGGAGACGGGACAAAAGGGGGTTTTAAAAAAAATTCAGGTTCTTTTTCCCGGAGGTCCCCTATTTCCCCCCTTCCTTATACGGGAGAAATTAAGCTAATAAAACCATGGTTTTAAGGGGGAATTCCCCTTTTTTGGGCGGATGACCCCAGAGTTTATAGGATTTTGGGTTTTTCCGGTAAACCCTACGAGATTTCCCCCCGATGGGGAAAAAAGGAATTTGTTTTATATTTAAAAGGGCCCGGAAGAGGGAAAACCAAAGGGTTACGCGAAATTGAAGGGCTTAGGGATCGGGGGTTGCCTTTGCCCGGGACCTTCTGCCCCCGGATGTGACGGTTTTAACAAGAGAAAACACTTTCCGGTATGGGTGTTGAGAACTTTTTTGTTTTTTATTCGGGAAACCGTTTCCCGGGGGTTTTTTTGCTTGTCGGGACGGACTCTTGAGGGCCCAAGACCGGGCATCCCGGGATTTTTAGGGTCGTTGATGGGGCCGGTATTGCCGGGGGTTCCGCCCGGTGTTTGGTTTATGCCAATGACCGGGAGGAGGGGGTCTCGCCCCCAAGGTTGGGGCCGCCTGGCTGTTTTAACCCCTTTTTGTTTTAATGGGGCCCGGGAAAATCCCTTTCCTTTGACCTCCCAGACAGGGGGGGGGAGTTAGGGAAAAGGGGAGGGGGTTGGTTGATCTGACTTTTATTATGGTTTTCCAAAGGATCCCGGGGGCCCATCACCCCAAAAATGGAGGGGGTTTGTTTTGGCCCTTTCGAAAAAAAGGTTAGCTACCGAAGGATTTAGTTAGAAGAGCCGAAAAGATCAAAAGGATTTTCCCAGCCCACTGGTATCAACCACAAACTGCTTTTTCCGGGGGGCTAGACCACGGGCCCTAGAAGGGTTTACTGGAATTTCAATTTTTCTTTACGGGAAAAGGCAGGCCCTTCCGGGAGCACCCATTATTAGGGGCAGGGAAACTGGGTAAGGAAACGGGTGGTGGGGAACCCCCAAAAAGGATTAGTCTTTCACCATTTATTTAGAAAGGGCCAAAAGTTTTTTAAAAGGGCCTGAAAAGGTAAGACATTCCAGAAGTTACACCCGGGGTGGCGGGGGGGATCCTAGAGAATTTTTAAATGGGGGGCCCCGGGACCGTTTGAATAGCGGACAAACCAGGAAAGGGGGAAAAAGGGTTAAAGGGATGTTTCGGTCGGGAATTTTGGGGCGAGTTTCTGAGGGAAGGGGGTCCGGCTGAGGGGACATTTTCGGGAAGTTTAAGCCCCCGGGGGGTACCGGGGGCTCCCCTGTTTTACAGGCGGGGTGGGCCTTTTTTAAAACTGTTTCCCAAGGACCCGGGTCTCTGGGGGAGGAGTTTAAAAATTATTTTTGATTTTTCCCTCGGCCGCCACGGGAAGGTTACCCAAAGGAGAGAGATCAGGGGGGTTTAAGCCCGATTGAAAAAAACAGAGGAAAGTCGCCTGGTTAAGGGGTTTTCCCCCATGAATTGTACCGAGGCTGTCGCACATTTTGTTCCGTTTTTGAAAGCAGGTTCAAAAAATGGTTTCGTGGGGGGTCCACCCCCAATCGGATAAACCAGGGTGGGGATCTCTTTTGGGAAAAAGGGCAAAGGTGGTGGGGGAAGTTAGATGTTTAAAGGTAAGAAATTTTTGCAAAAAAGAAAGAAACCAAGTTTCCTGGGAGCGGTTTCAGTTGCCGGGGGTTCTGTTGGGGACCTGAGAGATTTTGTTCTGTGGGGGGCCAACAATTCAGAGCAACCTGTACCCCGATCCGGGGAAAACTTAAGGGGGTGAAAAAAGACGAAAAGGCCACATTGATAAATTTTGGGACGGCCCCAACATTTGATGGGGGTTGACCATCCCCACCTTGTTACTGTCCCAGGTTACTTTAAAAAAACCCAACTTTTTGTCATGATTATTTCCTGTACGTTTCCCCCCAAAAAGGTGTGGGTACAGGGGGAACGGAAGGTTGTCGGATTCAGGCGTTCAGGTGGGGTTCGCGGGTTGGCCCGCCTTCCTCCCTTTGGGGCTTGAGCCCCCTTCCTTCAAGGGGGAAGGACAAACCGCAGTCCGCCCCCACGTAACCCATTCCCCGGAGGGCCCGGTTTTAAGGGTTTCCATGATTACCCGGTCGTCCAAGAGCCATTGAGGCGGAAGAAGGGTTTGATCGGCAAGGGGGAACGGGGGGAAAGATAACCTAAGGAAAAGTCTCCCTTGTTAGGGTGCCGGGAAGGGGGTCATCTTCCAGGCCCTTTGTTGGACGGACGGCCTGCCCTGATTTTTGGGAGGGGGGTTTTGGGCCCCCCAGCGGGAGAAAAAATTGGTCGGGAAGCAGGAAAAGGCCCTTTTTCCCGGGAAAAAGTTTTGGGGAATGGGAGGGAGGTTGCCCGGGAAGGGGGGGGAGGTTTTGGTTAAAAAATTTTTTCCCCCTGATTTTTTTATCGACCTGCTTTTCCTCTCTGAAAAAGACCAAAGGGAAGGGTTTGGCGATCCATCCCCCCTTTTTTTATGGGGGGAGCAAGAAGGGGGCGGGAACAGTCTGACTAAACGCCCGGTAGGGGGGCTGGGAATTTTGCCCCCGGAGTCACATCCGTTCTGGGGTTGGGCCCTTTCCCCACGCCCCCATTGACTGGAGGAGACCCGGGATTCTGGGGGTTTTTAGGACCCCTTTCCGGGCTTTTACCCTGGGCCCCCATCTCGTGGGTTGGGGGCCCACAGAACCCCGGGGGTGAGTGGGTTTTCCCCCCCATGTGGTTGGCCTTGAAGGCCTTTCCCCGTCCAGTGCCCTTTTCCCCCAGGAAGGTCTTCTATCGGGTTTAGTGGGGGGCCCTGGCATGGTTTTGTGGATACGTTCACTTTTTGGAGGGGGAGTATCGCCCCTATTTTTTAAAAAAGGGGGGGGATTCCCCGGTGCCCCCTGATTTTTCCCCTTTCCTGGCGATTGGTGGGAATGGGCTCCCTTCAATGACAAGGTTTATTTTTGGGTTTCCCGGGGGATTGGAACGGTGTGGTTTGGTTTTAGAAGGGGGGGCCGGACGCCTTTTTCCCATTCCCCCGGTCCGCCTTTTAGGGAAAAAACCCTTGGAAGTTGAGGGCCTGCCCCCTTTTAAAGCCAGGTTATTGATCGCGAATCCCAGAAAATTGCCTTTCAGATTCCGGGAGAACGAATGTTTTGGGATGCTGAGGCCCCGGCTCAATTTGTTTTGGACGTTTTTGGGGGAGGAAGCCTGGGGAAACCGGTTTTTTATCAGCATCTAACCCAAATTTTTGAGCATCAGCCGATGAAGAGGGGGTTTCTGATGGGAAAACGATTGCATTCGAAGTCTTCAGCTAAAGGGGGGAAAGTGGGGCAAGCCTGGTTGGGGGTGCCCGGGGCAGCCTTGATTTTTTTTTCTGGGGTCAATTTTATGGGTTTTCGGGGTGGCCCCCCCGGGGAACCACCCCCTTGGTTAGGTTAGACAAGCTTCATTTACCTAGTTAATGGGAGAAAATGTTTTGGCCTGTACCCGGGGGCCCCCTTTTTGGATGGTCCAATTTTGTTTCCCTAACCCCCCGTTTTTTTTGGCCCCTTTTATCTTCCCCAAAAAATAAATTTTTTCCCCCTTTTCCCGCAAATTTTTTCCCCCCCTTTTACCTTTTAAAGCGAGAGCGTTTTGATTTTTGTCCCCGGGCAGAATACACCCGCCTTTTCTTTTTTGGGGGGGTTGACGGTCCCCCAACATGTGTTATGTTTTTTTGTTTTTTGTGTTTTTTTTTTATTTATTTTTGGGGTTCCCCTCCCCCCCTTTTTTTTAAATTTTAAATTAGAATTTTTTATTTGTTTTAATGAACATCAAATTTTTTGAGGGGGTTTTTTGGTGGGTTTCCCCGGGGAGGATGGGAATGGGGGTTTGGGAGGATTGAAGGGTGATGGATGAGTTCTGTGGTGAAGAGTTTTTTAAAATGTAGGGAATGGGGGGGGAGTCGTTTTACCCGGGGTTGATAGAAGGGTTGACCACCCTTTTTCCCCCCCTTTTTTGGCCTTGTGCCAAATTGTAAATTTTGTTGCAACCCCTGGTTTTGAATTAATTTTAACCCCCCGTGTTTTTTTTTTGGAAAATGTTAGGGGTTTAGAAAAGAAAAAAATTTTTGGAAACTCCGATTTTTAAAGGGGTTTTTGGGTTTTTTTTTTTTAAAAAACTTTTTTTTTTTTATTTTTGGTTTGATTTTTTGTTTTTTTGGTACATTTTTTTTTTTTTTTTTGTTTTGTTGATTTCTTTTCCTTTTTTTTTCCCCCCCACTGTTTTTTTGTTTTCATTCGGTTTTATTATTTGAACGGGTTTTTTTTTTTTTAACCTTTCGTTTTTTTTTTTTCGCTTTTTTTCCCTTTTCCCAATTTTTAAAAAAAATTACTTAAAAGGAAAAACCCTTTTTTTGTTAAAGGGGTTAAAAACCTAGCATGGCCGGAAAAAAAAAAAAATAATACACCGCCACGGACACGGTGTTTTTAAAAAGGGCCCTTGGTCAAAAAATGGGCCGCTTGATCCGAGTTTTAAGAGAGCAAAAAAAAAACTTAAAACCCGGTTTAAAGGGAAGGGATTTTTTAACCAAAGGAAGTGTTTGATGCCA